GCACTAATTTAAAGACTTGGATCATTAGCTCTCATTATTCTAAGCATGCAACTGCAAGAACAAGTCATAATACCACACTTTGGTGAATCTTCTTGTTTTGTATTTTGAGTCTTTTTCTTGTAGTTGTATGCTTAGAATAATGAGAGCTAATGATCCCAGTCTTTAAATTAGTGCTATTACTTTACTAGGCATAAGAATACAGGATTATTTCCCCCTATAAAGGAATGGATTAATCACCAGTCTGCCCCAAATGACGTCACGTTGAGCCACACCCACCGACAGGAAGTAAAATGGCAGGAAGCAAAAATGGCATTTTTGAAAGCTCATATTTCAGTGAATAATTTTTTTTGAACAATGGGAGTTGTCACACTTCATTAAAAAGTTAAGGCAATCATATTGAGCCAATAAAATAAATACCTCCATAAACCATTTCAGTTACCCTTTAAGGCAAGCGTCGATTTTCTTGTTTACTGCCTTCTCTGAGAGGTGTTGGCCAATCTTTTGGAAGAAAGAGTAGAACAGCTATCGTTAATGAAGTACTGAAAGATAAAAGAATGAAGGCAATGACAATCAGGAAAGTTGGTCAGTTGATACAAAAGGATCTTAGACTATTATGTAAACGGAATTCATCCTTTCATGATGAATGAATAAGTGAAATTGAGCAATTTCATTGGGCTAGAGTTAGGTCACGTGTAAGGAATACCGCTCCACTCCTTTTTGCTATCCTTGACGAAGCACTGAATAAATCTGGATTAGAGAAAGAGATAGCTATAGATATGTGCACTTCTATAATTGTAAAGACTCATAGCGAGAGAGCACGTTTAGTAAAACGTTTAATTTCAGTATTGCTTTTTAGCAGTCATGCCCCTAAGCAGGTTTCTGCTGGATGGTTGAACTGTTAAGTGTTTCGACCATTTGTTATGTTATTGTCTCATCTTGTTGTTTCAACGATTACACAAGAATGGAATTTGTGTCTCACAAAAGCACTATTTGGTTAATAGATGGAATGTGTAATAATTTTGATGGTCCTGTAAAGGAATGGCATAGCATAGTATCAGATTACCTATGGCCTCAGAGGTAAATGAATTAGACTGTCCTACATTTATGACTAATCAACATGAATGTACATGACATAGTGTAGTGAAAAATTCTGACACTAATAATGCCAGCAATGATGAAGCAGTGCCTGAGGATACTGAGGTACATGCACATGCATCTAATATCTCCATCACCTCTATGAATGTTGATGACACCTCACGACCATCCCTCTCTCAACAACCTTTCGAAAGCACATCTGTGCCACTGTCACCAGTATTAAGCACAACTAACAATTCTCTGAATATTGTTTCGTGTTACTCTGAAGAGCCACAGACATCCAATATTACCATCACTGCAGACCTACCTATTGATTTTGAAGGCCAACCTGTACTACTGTCTCCATCTCATTGTTCTGATAACTCCTCTTTAACTGCTTCTGATGCTCATGCTTCCTCTTTTACTATATCCCCACCAAGCTACCCTTAAAAATCATCTTCAGACACCATGTACCTCAGAAGAGAACATGGAACGTAATACTCCTAAGCCATGTCACCGCTATTTCGAACTTGTTGGAGACAATTTAAATAAATATGTCAAACCGGGCAATGAAACCATGGAAAGGCATTCATCTTCACTACATTACTTTCATTCTTTTGCCGTCTTAGATCCATGCAACACATCACATCTTGCTGACAATCCCTCTCTTTGCGATGCCAGTACTACATGTACATCCTTCTCCAAATCTATTCTGCCTACTGAAAGTGATCGTAGCAGTCTGCTGGATAACTGCTTATAATGACACATCTACAGTAATACGTTTCATCACATACCACAGAAGACCAACTGCTCAATCCATTGACAAATGAACATTTCAAAGTTAGTTTATGATTTATAACTATTCAAATGATTTCTGTACATGCATCTTTAGGTGCACATTGATGAGTTCCATCACATACATTTTGGTGGAGACCAGTTAACAGTTGAAAGAGCCACGGGAGGAAAAAAGGAAATTAGTAATGAATTAAGAGGCATGGAAAGGCTAGAAGGAATAATTCCAGTACAAGAAAACTGGCATGCAAAGGTTATATTGTTGAAGGTATAACAGTATTTCTGAAAATTACAATACATAATGGACATAAAAAAATTATTGTAGGCCATATGGAAAGTGTCATATAAAACATCATCAGGATCAGACACTGGTACTCTTTATCAGCTAAGAAATTTCCTAATGCGGCGGACTGTAACTAGTGAGATTAAAAGTAATCCAACTGCATGTGAGGAGTTCCTTCTGCTAATTTTGTAGGCTCACATACTGAGTATAGTCATGAAAGAGTTTTAGCTCGATTCACTCGATGGTGTGCCCGAATCTCCTATTTTTTAAGAGCAATTTCTATCTCATGACCGTAATCATAGGCTAAATATAGTAATTTCTTCTATTAGATCTATTGTAGCTAAATATACCTATGACCTAACAATTGGAAAAGATGTAAAGGAGAAAGGCTGTGTTCTAGCATATGGAAAAGAGTTGCTGAATCTGGGTATCTTTTACTTAGAATTCATTCATTCAATTAAAAAGGGAGACGGATTTAGGATTCATTTGAACAAGTATCGCAAATCAGCCAATGGCCACCTCTCATCCAAATGTCAGTCAAAATACTATTGATAGACTTGGTAAGTCTCTTGGCAAGTTGGAACGTGTCAAATACAATTTCGACCGTAAAACTGGACTGAAACAAAATCCGGGGTATGAAACAAAGCCGTCTCTTAGTAAGGACTTGAAAAAAGTCTTAGAGGAGCTAAATAAAGTTGGTATTTTTGAAACAGTTGACAAAAGAACACAAGAGTTTTCCACGCTTTTAGGGTAACACTGCAGGCACTGTTGTTGAGAATGAGCTGGAACCATGGCTAGCAAAGTTATTTACTAAGATAACACAATTTAAGTAAATTATTTCTATTTTCAAATAAAGTTGATCTAATGTTCATCATAAGTACAATGATGAAATCTGAATTTAATTTAAAATTTACAAACACTACATTCACACACAATTGCACACAAATAACAACATAAACAACCAATGGGTTTTTGTGATTGTGAATATGATTGAAATGATTTAAAAAGTGACTCTTGACGACACGTAGATCAATTTGTACAATAGTTTTTCAAACTGTCTTATATAAACATAACGCCAATGTCGCGTTTCAAATAATAAAGATCAGGAAAGGCTCTATCACCATCTCTACCGCTCTGCCTGTTTCTTGAATGTAGCAGTTGACATCAGATGGAGAAACCCAATAAATTATTTGTCTCACACGTGCACAGTCTATCCCCATTCCAAATGCTACTGTAGCGATAACGATACGCATATGCCCACTAGGATTTGAAAATGATGCTAGGATGGATTGTTTCAAACTTGGTGTATAACAGCTGTAAACATTTCTACCATCAGGAAAATAAAATAATCAGGTGCTCCAATGGGATCGGTCCACTCAACTCCTAAGGAAGAACGAAAAGTGAGACATAAATCACAAAAGTCTTGATAAGTTCTGCAAAATAATATTGTCTTGTTGGTATTGTGTTGCAATTTGTGTAGCTCCTCAATTACAGGCTTGAAAGTATCCTCAATGGATTCCGTTTGTTCCATAACACTGTAGTACAGATTAGGCTTGTCCGTGATCTAGTAATCATGACAGGTTTAGTCATCCCAAGTGAACGAATTACTTCATTTCTAGTGAAGTTGGATGCAGTGGCTGTAAGGGCCACAAAATGAACACCAGATGGCAATAATCCATGCAAACCACTCAATTTACTATAATCTTTCCGAAAATCTTTACCCCTATAAATAAAGATATTAAAAAGTAGCAACATACAAGGCATATCCTTACCATTTCTTTACACAGTGAGCTTCATCCACAATAAAAGCCACCAATCTGTCATGCAATGATGCACTACGAAAAAATTCTGTCCAGTTCTTATCAAAAAGAATTTCAGGAGTAAAAACAATTTGAAATGTTACGCCTGATACTAGAGATTTGTGTTCTTCCTTGTCACCGTACTCACAAAAAACAGCTGATATCCCCTTAGATTTCAATAATTGTACTTGATCAGACATGAGAGCATTTAGTGGGCTGACTAGTAGAGCCACTGACCAAGAGGTTTTATTGTAAAGTATATCAAAAAGGAGAGGAAGACAAAAGTAACAACGATTTACCAAAGCCAGTTGGAAAAGTTACAAATGCATCATTATGTTCAACAAAGGAAACAACGGTGCGCTTCTGCTCCTCTAAGAGAGTCTCGTACCTAAGCCAAGTGGCACAAATCAGCAAAGCAGCCTCTACGCTTTCCTTTTGCAGCGTTTTCTTGTCTCTGCACTCGTACTCATCTCTGCTCTTCTTCACCATCTTTTTCTTTAGATCATGTGACAGTCACATAATAAATTGTGGCACAAGTTTAGTCTAGCAGTGTCTCAAGACCCATTCTCCATAGTTAACGAAGGGGCGGGGCGAGACTAGGTGCTCATATTGTTCTATGTTTCAGCTGCTTAGGGGGAGAAGTCCTATAGCTAGTGCTGACATAGTTCTAACTAATTAAGTTGAGAACAAAACACTCAAACTGTGTACTGACATTATCTGGAATTAATTAAAGTGTCAAATTGCATCTCTGGAGATGGAACAACATCTTATGAAGCTACCAGAGACTAATTTGACCTATATAAAAGAAACAACTTCATAAGAAGTATGAAACCTCGTATTGACAATTGAATTATTCATATTTAATCAATTTTGTCATTTATCTACTTCTTTATTATTCATTTATTCAGTCATTTAAAACATAAACCTTTTAATAAGATACATTAAACATTGATTTTCTGATCCTGCAAGTTTGTGAGTGAGGTAATTGTGAAGCTGAAAGTTGTAAGCAATTTCTGGTGTGACAATGGTAGCACTCACACATGCAATGTCGGCATCATAATTGTAATGGAAAATTAATTAAAATTCGAGAACCGCATCTATTTAGATCCTAAAATTAAAAGTACAAGGAGGGATGCTTCAGAGCTGAGTAACCTCATAAGTGATACAGCGTGCTGGCAGAATGCAGGGCATGATGTAGCCTGCCTAATGAATTAGTTTGACACTGAAATAAACAAATTCATTACGCAGCCTACGTCACTGCACGTCCTAACTAGCTTGAGTTGCTATCATTAGCTGGCTGTACCCCACATCATGCAGTTAGCATATGGCTGCGCTATTCAACGGGGGACATTATATTTACTACAAACTCTTTAGTGAAAGAACAATGTAAGTTTTTGAATTAATAGTTCTAAAACTTAGCTTCTTAACAACCTCGGGGTGTAGCCCCCAGGTCGTTCCTATAATTGATTTCACCGTCGCGCTATCTTTATATATTTATTTATATATATATTAATTTGTAAGTCCACACTTGCATTTCTTCTATACACATTGTATTGGAGAAATAAGAAGCCTTGGCAACCATCCGCCCATGCTCCTTTACGTGAGTGGGTGTGTCCACGGCAAAAAAAATGGTGGCTTACACATGGGACAAAGTTAAGAGCTTTCTAACAGCAAGAGAACATATAGATGCTGTCTAAAGACTTCTCTAGAAGCATTATAAGCTAGAGAGAACTTCTATTAATCTTAATAATGACAAAGTTGTACTTGCAAGGTGGTGAAATCAATTACAGGAATATTTTTTAACCTGTTACACATGTTCTTACGCTAATCCTTCTATTTAGAAGTCATGAGATGATCTATAAGGCAGCAGGTGCAGCCTGAGCCTACTGAGATACTGCAGCAACTTCAATAATAATAGTCCTGGCGATTCTTCTAGTTTTCGTCAGCATTTATAAGAATGCTATATATACATATATATACTGTCTAAGAAAGGGTGATGAGGCGAGGAAGAAGGTGAAGGTGACCAGCCACTTAAACCTTCCAATGGCACTTCTCTGAGTCTGAGCTGCTGTTCCACTAGTCTGGGCCGAGCCTGCTCCACCCTCATTCCTTATGTACAGTTGGTGAGTTTGGTTTTGTCATCAAGCTATTTATCGACTCATTTATTCTTTTTATAGTACAATCAGTAACAATAGTACATTGTAAAACTGAAAACTATTTATAAGAAGAATAGTTTCTTTCAGCTGAAATGTAATTTGTTTGTTTACATTATGTAAAATGATTTTCTTGAAAGTTCTGTCAATGCCCAATAGTACGATTGCACAGCTGCCAGTCATGCAGCTTTAAGTGAGAGAACAAAGAAGTAAAATGAAAAAGCATAAATATAGATTGAGTACATTTATGTGCATTCAACAGTAAGTTTTAAGTATTTGTAATACAGGGGCGTATCTAGGAATCGGGGAAGGAGGGTGCTAAAGGTGCGCGCCGCGATTTTGACCCACACCCACTTTTACGGTGGTAAAACGGCCTTTTCCTATATTTTTGTCAAGTACGGGTGGGGCCAAAATCATTTCAAGCATACTACTATGTTACTGGTACTTCTGATTGCTCCTAAAAGCACTAGAAACTGCTGAAATCATGATCAGGGGGCTAGATAACTTTGTTAAGAGCCTTGGTAGTCATGGAAGAGTCCAGGAATTCAGTAATTTTTCCTGAGCCTAGCTCTGAGGGGGTGCTCAAGCCCCTCAGCCCCCCCAAAATACGCCTCTGTGTAATAGGTGTAATTGGGTAAAAATAAACTAAACTATACAACTAGTGTATATCTGTACGTTGTATAGTGTACGCAAAGAATATAAATGTAATATAATTCTTCGTATGAATCATGTTGTATGACACTGTAGTCAAGAAAGTTACCATGTAGTGGGAAATTTTGGAGGAATCGAGTTAAATTTGGCAAATTGCTAAATGTGGCCCCAAGCCATTAAGCATGCTTATAATGGCTTAAAAATGGAAGATTTTTATTTTGGTGAATGGCAATCTGAACGCCAAATTCACCAAACTTAACTGCCTCCAAAGTATCCCACTATACGGTATGCATGCATATAACAAGAGGCATAAGGAAAGTAGGGACAAAGAAATGGAGACTTCATGAGTAATGTACATTCATGTATGTGATACAAAACTTCAATTACGGCATGTACACGTACACATGTACATATATTTACCATGCTAATGATCAAGTAAAGAATGAATTACCCGTAAATGGACATTAAATTCAGAGGACCACTGCATCATATAAGGCAGGAGTTGCAGGGCCAATGTGTAATGGCGTTGTATGGTTGTTCTTATTAGTAGGCTGTAAAATTGTACACATAAATATTATATAGGCTGTAGCCTATACACAGGGTTGTGGTTGATTATTTCAGATGGTGACCAAATTAATATATTTCAAACCCTTAACTGTTCTTGAACAGCCTTGTAAACGGCTTGGATGTGCTCTCCTTCACTGAGCGATTCTTTTGTTACCATTAAAATGGTTTATAATACAGCTGGAGCGATTCTGGATAATAGGCCCAAATTGAAATTTCTGCAAAAGTCTTCGGACTTTTCTTGCTTCTGTCATCTTCCATGGCCCCTCTAATCTTTTAGGCCAAAAAACTGCTCTGAATGGCCTTCACACCATTTCTTCAGGCTTTGGTCAAGGACCACAGACTTAGTTTTTAGTCTCATTTTACGTCTTGTGCAAAACAAAAGTATTTATTGGACGTGATATGACACACCTGGTTTTCAGTTTCCATTTTAAAACAATATTGCGCATGCGCAGATTTGCCATAGTGACTATACTAGGATCACACTGACTTTGTCAACTTAGATTTTGAATAACTTTCTTATTTTACATGCTAAAGACAGCGGTTTTTTGCTGTTGTATTTTTCTCTGAAGAGCCGGTATTTTGATACATGATTCAACTAGAGCGCAGTTGTAGAAAAGGGGGAAAAATCAAAGCACTTGGGCACTTAAAGAGCACTTGACAAATATCGCCCACTCGTGGTGAACACGTAGGTGTATAAAACAAAATAGCGACCAACGGTACACGACATGGACCACCAAGAACAAGAGATATTAGCAGGAAAGAAGGCATGGGGTGAGATATAACTAAAAAGGCATGAAAAGATGAGTATAGCTGACTTATTGGACTCTTTTTGGCCACATATACAAATAGAAATGAAAAGAACGATATAAATTAACAAGCAGCTACAATGAACCATATCTTTTAGTTGACTTTGTTGAAGCCTAGGATTTTGTACGTACCTTGAAAAAAAACAAAAAATTTATACTATGGAACTTATTATTATTCATAACCATGAGGAAAAGTAACAACGGATCACAGGAGAAATGGGCCTGACTAAAGTTACATTCAGAGATGAATTTGGGACCTTCTGCTTAGTAAAAATAACTGTCTTGATGGAAGGGAACCATTTTGTGCACCTGAATTTCTTTCTAATGTTAGAGTTACTTCAGTGATGAGTCCGATCGTATAAAGCCTGTAGTGAAGGCGTCACTTCAATCCTACCTCTCCAAATGATGCTGTGGTTGGTAATGACAATTATGAATACACCTGACTAATTATATTACTTGACTTTACTGTATTTTAAAAAATAATAATAATTTATAATAAAATCCGTCTCATAATTATATTCATTGTGGGTAAGCTATTATAAACAAACACTTATGTGACAATTAACAGCTACTTTCATATGACAACAACTGGAATAATAAGCTGATCAAAGTCAGTGTGACCCTACTATAGTCTCACTACCACTACCAGTCTTCTCTAGTATAGTACCGCTGAATATTGCTCTATTATTTGTGCCACATCTTCTGCTTGCTAGTAAGCAGTGCACAGAGTACCAGTGCTTATAGGAACTAATAGGTAAATAAAATTAAATAAAAATGATATCATACTTCTTTCTCAACTTAGAGTGACTTTTACATTTAGCTGCTCTGTAATTTGCAGATACTATTGTCAGCTGCAACTAATATCTGGAGAGTACTGTAATAACGTTGGTGGATATGAAGATTAAGTGCTTGTGTTTACAATGATGAGCATGAAATTTGCCAGTAGCATTTTTCGTCCATACTTGGTGTTATGGTACGTCTTATAGTTTTAGTTCTAAGTGCAATTGTTGCAGTGTTAATTGTAAGAAAGGAAAGTAGAAGAAGGAAGAGTAATTTAACTGGGGCCAAATTAAAAGAAAGAAGGTAAAACATAAAAAACAAAGCAAATGGAAGGTTTTATATAGAAAATAGTTCAAATGCCAGAGCATATTACATAACGCAATGTTACAGGGTCAAAGCAAAGCAAGAATTGCTGATAAAATTAGTAAAAAGTATAAGTTAGCATATCCAAAGCAGTTGCATGCACTCAACCCAGGTTATATGTTGCAAAAATGTAAAAATTGGAAGAAGGATACTTAAGTTCAAAAATAAA